TAATAAGATAATACCACATTGAGGTCCAAAGGTTCCTAAATTAAACTTTTGTTTAATTTAAAAAAAAATGGAATTCTTTGGTTCTTTGATATATTGATTCTAACAATGTTTGATTGTTTAATCATATCTAATTTTAGAGAACTTAGTCATCACTGGTTGTTGTTATTATATTATTGATTATAATTTGCATAAATTTGAAAAATTGCATCATATCTTATTTTTGAAAAATTTTATCCAGTTTTAGTTATTTCCCTTAGCACAGAAAATATTATGGATAAAATTAACTTGTGTTTCATTTCAACATAAATTAAATATATATAGGGTTCTTTCAAATGCTGAATCTAAACCTGTATTTAAATATAAGATTTTGGGGCCCAGTTTTCAAGTTGGTCCAAATCAGGGTCCAAAATTAAACTTTGTTTGATTCAACAAAAACTGAATTTATGGGGTTCTTTGAAATGCTGAATCTAACCATGTATTGAGAGATTTTGGATTGTGGGCTCCTTTATCAAATAGGTCCACATTGAATTCCAAAGGGTCTTAAATTAAAGTTTTGTCTGATTTCATCAAAAATTGATTTCTTGGGTTTCTTTGATATGCTGATTCTCATATAATATACTTAGATTTTGGATATTGGACCATAGTAGGTAAATGTCCAATTTCAAATATTTCAATTCTTTGACCACATTCATTTTGTGTCACAAACCTATGCTGTGTCAAAAATTCAATCACAATCCATATTCAGAGCTTTTTTAAGCTTAAATGTAGTGTCTATACTTTCTCAACTGTTCAGGGTTCGACCTCTGCAGGAAAATCCGTTTTGCTGTCACTCTGACAGCCTCTTGTTTTTCTATACCCCTGAACTACCTTAAATGGGTAATTATGATTGCAAATTCCATTGGAAATTTGAATTGAGATAATGACCCTGTCTTGAGGGAGAGAATTTTTTTTTTGGAAAAGGGGGGGGACATTTTTTTTTCTCATTTCAGATTTCAGAAATTAAAAAGAAAATTTTTTCAAATATATAATTTTTTTTTTGCCACAAAAAAAAGGGGGGGGAGGGTCAATTTGCAACAGCATAGTGTATTGCACAAAAGGAAAAAAAAGGGAGGTAATTGTTTTTTAATATCATATAACCAATTCTAAGTTCTTTGACTACAGTTATTCTGTGTCAGAAACCTAGTATGTGTCAAATATTTAATTACAATCCAAATTCAGACCTGTATCAAGCGCGAATAATGTGTCCATTTTTGCCCCAACTGTTCAGGGTTGGACCTCTGTGGTCGTATCCAGCTCGGCGAAGCAATTTATTAAATAAACATATGGACATAAGATGGGTACATATATGTATAATCCTTAAAATTAAAATCAGTAAATTGTAATAAAATCAATGTTTTAATTTCAGAGGTCATTTCTCCACAAAAACAAGCTTAATGTCGATGGGCCTGATGGAATCGAGTTTTTCTTGGATATTTGGGAGAAGTGGAACATATTAGTGATACAAAAAGGGGGAAATATTACAGTACATGGACACCAGCATGAACAAGAAAAGACAAAGTATTATGTTATAAAGTCTATATGTATATATTAATGTTTAAGTTGTGACCTCAACCAATCAAATTATATCACTGCTTAATGAAGTGGGTGGTATATAGAATTTACCTTGGCCAATTCGACATGTAAACATGTCAAAAAAACATTGAAAAAATGATTTATGTAATCCATCGCACTTCAACATAACCACCATAGCAATTTGGCAAAGCTATCAATAAGAAATTGTCACAATGCCATCATCGCACTTTGGCTTGATCAAAAATGCACTTAATCTTTAAACATTTGCATGACATTTGCGGTTCAGAGTCCTACAGGTTGGATTTTGAATTTCTGTACTCTCAACAACCAAATAGTAATAAAATTGAAAACATAAACAGTTATTTTATAATTTCTAGTGGATTATGAGGGAGTTTATATTAAATTAGATAAGACGCATGAACATGTACCTAAAAGGTGACAGTCGAGGATACCAAAAGAAATTGTTTCCTTTATTAATAAGTCATTTGAGAAGGAAGAAGATAACTGTTTAAATATGTATTCTGATATAATGTGTTTTAATGGTTTTTAATAGACATAGATGTTCATGTATCACTGTACGTAATATTAACCTTAACTTAATTATTTTGCTTGTTCTAAAATAAAGATAAGTTGATAGTAAGTTGCTGTTATAATAAACTTTGCATCTTGCTTAATTTCATGGAAAGAAACTAGTTTGAAGAAAAAGAAAAAAGGATGAAGAAATTGACTTATTTTTGTTACACTATATTTGAAATGTTACATTTGATTATACACTTTACAAATTCTAAAAATATATTCTTCTACTAAAGACAAGAATTTATTATCGATCCTGCAATTTCAAGAAAAACGTGTATGCACAGCAATTGGTTTGAACTAAGGCTGACAGGATTGTTAATGCGTTCTTAACTTAATAATATAATTTATAAGTGCTCTTCAAAAAATCTTAAAAAAACTGAAGGTCAAAGTGCAAATTATATAGCTGTAGATTCTTTATTGATTGAAACATCTGCACTCAGATGAAATGCTCATATGGTGCAATAGAATTGATACCATGAAAGTTTAATTTCAAACGCATAATTCACATAATGACTTATGTTTTGTTCATATATCCTACATGATATTTCTTAAACATACATTAGACCGCCTCGGTTAGTCTGAGAGTGCAGGAGGTTATTATAGGTTCAAACAGGGGCTGAGTCAATGCAAAGACTTGAAAACTGGTATTAGCTGCGTCTCTGCTAGGCAAGCATCATTAAATAGTAAGAGGAAAGACTGAATCAACTGGTAGTCAGAATAATGTTTCCAGGTAGGGTGACATGTCTTCCTGAAAACTGTTACTTTGTGAGTTAGCAATTTTAAAATCTGTCTGAGGGTGGCAGTCTAATACAAAGCAGGGTTAGTGCTCATTTCTAATTATTATGATCTCATAACCTGAATATGCATCTGACCTGCCACTGGAAGTAAAGCAACCATCATCAAAACATATGTTTACCATACGGTTTATGAACATGTGTTTACCATATGTTCTCAGACATATGGTTACCATGAAAATGCGTTTACCATGTGTTTTCAAACGCATGTTTCACATATAAACATGCGTTTACCATGTGTTTTCAAACGCATGTTTCACATAAACGCATGTATCAGTCTCATCTATTTTAGTTTTTTGTACACTCTGAAATCCTAAAATATTATCTGATATATCTAGTAAACACGTAATCTTATAAACATATTTTGTGCATTGTATCAGTGTCATCTATTCTAGTTTTCTGTATACTACACTTTAACATATTCGTTCCATTTTCCACATAATAGTTTTTTTTTTTTTTTATTCTTTATCGTAAGTGAACCCTCTATCAATTTCGTTTTTTTTCCTGGTGATATAATGATTTTGATGTTCTTTCAGTCACTATCAGATTGCCAGATACAACCATCAAAACTGAAAATCATATTACCAATACAACATATCCGGATCTCGACAATTAATGTCTCTTCAGTGATGTTAGGAATCGAAAGGGTATTTGGAATGCCATATGATTAACTTCAATTTAGGATTGACTCTTGAATTTTGAAGAGTCGAAAAAGGATGAACGGATTATATAGACCTGAAGTCAAATATAAAACAAGCCCAAACGAAAAAAAAAGAATCAGTCTAAATTGAAAACAACGTTCAAAGAAAGCAATTTTTATACGTGTGCATGCAAAAAAAAATTCTTGGTAGAGTGGTCGAAATACAGCACTAACAACATTTTCAAAAAGATAAAAAAAAAAGTGAAAAAGTATATTTTAACAAAACGCATTTGACTAGCAGGTCGAACAACGGATGTTCTTAAACACTGCTGACTGCCATGGCGATTTCCAAATAAACGGATTACCAGATATAACAAAAATATATATATAATCACCATAGAACCATAGGAAAACAGCCTACAATTACATGTATTGCATATATATAACTATTGCTTAGAGTATCTGAGATACAGACTTGTCCAGTAAACTTAACATGAAATGGGGTCGCGGTCAGTTTAAATCTACTTGTATGTCGGAAATGTAAAAGCTGCTTTCAATATTTCTGTCAACCAAATAAAGCTGTTCTTTCTCGCATTATAAGTGATATTACCGCTTGATAAAATCCGAACATTTTTTTTACGCAGTCGTCGCATGAGCCATGAAAATAAGCAATATCCCCGAAAGATGATGTATTATAGGAATATCACCTAGAGGAGTATAAGAATATCACATAAAGATGAAAGAGTATATAAATATCCCTTTAAGGTAAAATGGTATAAGAATATCCCCTAAATGAGAAACCGTGTAAGAATAGTTCCTAAAGCTGAAAGAGTATAAGAATATCCAATAAAGGGGACACAATATAAGAATATCACCCAAAGGTGACACAGTACAATAATAACCCATAAATGTGACTCAGTATTAACATAAGGAGATTTAGTCAATGTGACAACTATCTACCAGATTCCAAATGGTGTGTATGATAATAACTATAGGTAGGTCTCCATACGGATATCAACAATGAGAAAAACTCAAACCGTATGCTGTAAATTCAGAAATTATTGCGAGTTTTTTTTTTTATGAACGCAAATAAAGCGACAAGGTGAGTACAATAAATAAATGCACGCAATATATATAAATAGTTTCTGAATTTATAGTAGTTAGCTATATAAGGTCCTGACATGACGGAATGTGAACCCATTCAAAACAATAAATGAAAAAGAAATAAGACAGACAACAACCAACGACAACCTTGGAATAGATAAATAGTCCCTTTCGTCGTCGGCATTATCTAGGGTTGTACAGCCGAAGAGGAAAGACAAACATAAAACCATACTTACATCAATATTAATAAACATAAGTGATTGTTTCTTTTATGGAAATTACTATACCAAGAATGTAAATAAGCAACTATCATAAATATTAATATGATTTATTTATTTAAAACACGTGCTAAATGAAACTATTATGAACAAAAAACCATAACCAAGTAAGTGTATATTCTATGTGCACTCTGTTATATTATATTTCATATATAAAACAATACTAGTATCTATTATATATCATCGCAGACAAATATTATATAAATAATAAATGGAAGTATGAAATACTTAAGTACAATCAAACGTCATTGGTTGAAAAAAAAAACAAAACAATACCATGGCAAAAACGAAAACGACTAAAATACAACAAACACCCTACAAAGCGCTGCATAAAAAACTTAAGACTGAGCAGCACGAACATGAATACCTTACTTCCAGATTATGTATGCGCTTTGCTCATTAATGAAGGCCGTACAGTAACCAATACAGTTGTTAATTTCTGTGTCATTAGGTCTCTTGTGGAGAGTTGTTTCATTGGCAATGCCACATCTTCTCATTTTTATAGATATGCTTACAGACGAAGCATTATAACTGGATATGCATATTAATTTATTTGATAACATTCAATTTCTAACGTTTCAGATTGCCCGGAAATGACAATGCTGCACAAACCAACATTGTACCAGTCTCAAGATATGTACGATGCAATTTTGAAATATATTCAAAAGAAATCTAATTATATTGTGTACAATAGATTGTTAAGAGGGACTAAGGATCGGCTGAAAAAAAAAACGTCGTCAGTCTGTTGTGTTTGTCCTTACTTCTTATTGATAAAAAGTAAAATCACAAAAATACTGAACTCCGAGGAAAGGTCAAAACGGAAAGTCCCTAATCAAATGGCAAAATCAAATGATAAAACACATCAAACGAATAGACAACAACTGTCATATTCCTGACTTGGTACAGGCATTTTCTTATGTAGAAAATGGTGGATTGAACCTGGTTTTATAGCGCTAAACCTCTCACTTGTATGACAATCGCATCAAATTCCATTTTATTTACAACGATTCGTGAACAAAAACAGACATAATAGGTAACATTGTCAAAATTTGGGTACAACAGTCATCACTGTGTCACAATCTCAAAACAAACAAACATTTAACAAAGAAGCACATGAAACATACATCAAATTTAACAATGTTGGACGCCAGAAAATATTGATTTCCAAACATTTATTTGTATAAGTTTCAATAATTAAAAACAATTATTGTAAAACCCATGTTTGAATACTAACAATGGTTTCTTTAAGGGTTTCAGAAATACTCTATTGAAACCCCCAATAAACTCTCTAAAATATTAAAATATCAGAATTGAAAATGTTGAGAAATAATTGGTAAATATTGACATTAGAAAATCACGTTATGTAATGACATACACGTAAACAATAGTTATGTCCCTTGTACTATATAACATTTTAACAGACTCTATTGTAAAATTGTTTCAGACAGCCTATGAAAACGGTTTTTTATATATAACTGCATAATCATAGCTATGACCACCAAATAGCAATGATATTGATAATATATCGATTGAAAAACAGGATATTTTTCATAATTATAGTATCTTTGAAACATAAATGAGAGTCCAAATGTTACATTTTTTATTACATATTTTGGTTAAATATTTATTTGTATAAGTTTCAATAATTAACAAAAAATTTGATAAAACCCATGTTTGAATACTTTCAATGATTTCTTTAAGGGTTTCAGAAATACTCTATTGAAACCCCCAATAAACATAAATGAGAGTCCAAATGTTACATATTCTGGTTAAACATGAAAACAATACAAAACAAAATAAATATTTTGTGCAAGTATTACATCTCTGCTATTTGCAAAAGAACTAAAAAAAAAATAATAATTTTAAACGGAATTTTATAATTCAGAAGATAAAAATAATTTTCGATATTTCTAATTTGTTTTAATAAGAAGTATTTCTCATGTTTAATAATAGACGAAAAGAAAGAGTAATTCGTGTAAACAAATTGTCTTTTTTCTTAATAAAATCAAGATTTTTTTACAATATTTGTGTTAACATTATACAGTATAACTAATTTCTTGATAAAACGAAATAGAATGATGCGTATATTCACAATAATTTGAATAATTTTCACAAGATTTAAAAATTGTTTGAACTTTTGTTGTAATTTTAAGGTAAACCTTTAACCTTTTATTGTCTTAGTAAAAAAGAAACCAATTTATTGAACACTTTATGAAAAAAAATTACGTATGTGCTTATGCAGTTAACAGTCAATACATAAGCTGTACATTGTGCGCACATTGATAATAATATCTTTTTCACTCACTGAACCCCGATTATACCTGCAATTGATCACCAAACCATTGCAATGTCAAATTGTTCAAAACTTAAAAATTTGCTTGTAAAATATCAACTATAAACTTATCAAATCCTCAAAAAAATAGGTTCAACTGAACCAATATTTTTTATAAATCACAATATATCGGAGTACATTTGTGATGGTAAGCACGGACGTAGTTATGAAGTACATAATATAGAACTATATAGTTAAGCGTACTTTTGTTGTTTCAACTGTTCTGGTACTTATAACCTGTTTCGAAGAGGAATGTAGATCAGTATCAACATGATCAATGTCTTCCAAAGCGAATCGGAAATCGGACATTGATTGAACATCTTTTATCCCCAACTGTTCCCTGATTGTTTGATAGAAAGTATTTGGACACTGAAAAACAAAAATTAACAACTATATTTTTTATTTTGCACAAACACATGTGTTTTACGCTTCATATCACAATATTTGAGTCTGGGTCGATACCAATGCGGGTGGACTGTTAGTTACTGAGGGTATCATCAACTCAGTGGTTAGTGCTAAGCTTTTCTAAAATTCTCCATTGATGAAAATAGGAATTATTTAGAAACTAATATTCTAACTCCCTTAGGCAAAGTTGACCTTTGATGAATTTGGCTATTTTAGGTCTCTTTTTGTCATATAATTCTTACGTGTTTAGGTTTTATATATCCTTGGCTTTCATGTATTTGGGTTTTAGTGTTCCTGATAAAAGTAAACTCAGAAAACCGCTCCAGACGCCCGAAATTGATTTATTTAAATTTATCAATTCAAAAAAAAATGTTGAAGTTTTTCTTGGTAGTGTATATTTTGCTTATTTATATGGACTAACCTCATGAACAAGCAGCTTGAGAAATGCAACGTCTTTTCCTCTCAAAGCCTTCAACTGTCTTCTAAAATAAAAGTTTATATGCATTAATAATGTACGTCTTTTACGTCCTTTAAACATGTAGTGAGATAAGTAGTTTTTATTATTTTCATTAAGACACGGATTTTGTGGCTCGGTAGAGTACCCGTCTTGAGAAAGGGAGGTCCTTTGTTCTATTCCCGCCAGGTTGAAACCACATATTTAAATCAAACTTAAAACTGACTTAACCAGTAAAAGTAAAGATTGGTCGACCTATAGTCAGAATTAATGTGCCTTCTAGAGAGTCATTACCTTGTGAACATTCACACATTGTGTTTTTTGCATGAAACAATTTATACCAACAAATGAAATGTCGAGAGGGAATTAAATAAATGGCATTGGCTTGACCAATATCCGCTAATATCAAAATCAGATATACCCAACGAAAATGGGACACTTTGTGGTTTATATATGAGAAATAAAAAACAAGGGTTATTAACTGTTCATGTGCGGACAAATTCTAAGAGGAAACGACCGGAGAAAAGTTGTATGTAATGGTTAATGTATACTGAACTTAGAAATTGAACCTATCAGACATACATAATTGTATTTGTATATAAATACATGAAACATTAAACATAAGTGTTTATTTTTTATAACATTATATTCAGCATAAGGGTCAGAATAAATTGCGAGAAACGAAAAACACCAATCTAATATATACTTACTGTTTGGATAAAAACATATCCTTCTGAAAAACCTTATCATTCAGCCATTTTTCTACTTGAGAAAGTGTCCAATTCATCGTATTATCAATTTCATTATTCTGGCCTACCTTAGGTTTTTCACCTGAGTTATCAGGTACCGCTGTTTGCGAAGTATGCTATAACAACAGAAAATAACTATTTTAGTAACATTATTTCATATGGTTATGTTATATGTAGTATTTTATGTGTAGTTTATCTTTAATCCACTTACCTTATACGAAAAGAATAATTATATCGTTCCGAATACAAGGACAAAATCGGAGAAAGCAAAAGCGACTTATTTGCTTTATATATGCACGATAGTTTTTTTTAGGCCAATTCGAGTATCTTTTATTCAAATAAAAACTAACTTTTCTGATTTTCTTAATTTTTCAAATTCACGACCATCAAAAATAAAGCTGGTTATGAACTTTTGAGATAACAATTTACTTTTTTTTTCAATGATGCCCTTCAGAAAAGATTTGACAAAATATGTGAAATTTAAAAAAATTTTTCAAATATTTTATTCACCATCAATGTATTTTGACTGAATAATATGCAGATTTTGTGAAAAATTGGAAAATTATTGCATTTATTATAAGTGTATGATTCGAGCTCATTTACAATGAATTCTGTTATTCATTCGTCATTCTATTTTGTGATACGAGTGAAGCTGAATCCGATTTGTTAAGATCTTTACATTGGTCTAGTACTTGTTTTAAAAATGTATTTTTACTGAAATATAACATAATTACATTATTTTACTTTCTTGTGTGTAAATTTAGTTTTGTATCACAAAATTTGTTTATTACATAATTGTTTTAAATTAAATTTTACGATACTCACGTCACATTCTTTGTAGGAACATACTTTAATTGAAGAACTATAGCCACAAACAGTTATCAACATACAAATGAACAGTAACAGTGTTAAAGACAGGCAGATGCATATCTGCATAAATGGTAACTCGGAGATTTTAACACTGTTTTGACGATGGGGTTGTTGTATCGTTGACTTTACAATTTTCGTTGCAACCTGAAAAATACGAACATTTTAAATCCTTTTTTGACAATTTTTACTTCAGATGAAACATAGTATTTCTTTTTATTGCAAATCATGATCATTCTTTAATTGTGGTCTACATCTTGAATATTCCTTTTTTATTTCTTTCGAAGTAGAGACCGTCAGGACAAAATGTATACAAACTGCAAATGTTCATATAAAGAATAGCCAAAACATGATAGCTGTACCATTGAATTATCAGCTTTTGTTTATTATTCAATCATATCTTCTGGATTAACAATTCACTTAATGAAGGCAAATATTGTTCAAGAGAACAGTACATGTGGTTCCTTACAGAGATAGAGGGTAATTTAAAAGAATAAATAAATGTGATATCATTAACAAGATGGCATAGAGGGAAATTTAAAAGAATAAATAAATGTGATATCATTAACAAGATGGCATCTTGACGATGAAATAGTTACATAGCCATCCGTCTTCTATCCACCTTCCTCATAAGCAATATTTCTTATTAGATTTGATTACTTACAATAATTTGATGTAGAATGATACTTTTTGGGACAACTATCCATAGAAGAAGAAGAAGATTTTATTTCCAATTATGGACTCCAAAGGGCATAAACATTACAACATCAATAATTTCCATAATACAATACAAACAATGAGATAAAAAAAAACAAAAAAAAAACATAATGAGAACAATTTATGTTTTAAAGTAATATGTAGATAAAGAACCTATAATTTTTCACATTAGACAAAAGGACAATTAAGAGGTAAACGTTCGGCTTTTTACAATGAGGTAAACATACACAATATGAATTACATAAAAAAGCAATAGGAAAAACTGTGTTTGCTATTCAGTGACTATCCATCATTTCCCAACTGATGACTTACTTAAATTTCTTATTTGATTAAAAAACCTTCATATTTGTTGTAGCTTATATCTTACAATACAGTTTGATATGTGCTACCTACCATTAAAATCTATTTGCAGTCTATTTGTATATCATGATTCTAACTCATATTGTTAAACGATGAACTATAGACACACACAAAGTTATTTTTTTTTTGTGAAATCATGTGAAAACTCTAAACTAAATTGCTGTGATAATATATATATATTTGAATCCACACGTTATTGTTTATAACGCTTTAATTACCTATTATGTCTGTTTGTTTTGTTCACACATTGTTGTCAATATAATGGAATTTTACGCGACTGTCATACAAGTGAGAGGTTTAGCTAGCTTTACAACCAGGTGTAATCCACCATTTTCTACATAAGAATATGCCTGTACCAAGTCAGGAATATGGCAGTTGTTTTCCATTCGTTTGATGTGTTAGAGCTTTTGATTTTTCCAATTCTTAGGGTCTTTCCGCTTTGAATTTTACTTGGAGTTCGGTATTTTTGTTGATGAGGACTCTGAATAATAAGCCCTGGATGAAAACATATGAAAATGCGACCTGAATTGATGATTTATTTTATGTTTATCTTTCAAGGATGACAATATTCAAATAATGTATCATGGTTTGTTAGGTATTGTGTGGTGTTAATCATGTGCTTTCAAAGTATAAAATAAAAATATCTTTAATTTAAAAAGAATAATGATCTTAAGCGTACCTGGTAATGGTTAGAGTAACAGGTAATATCACAAGGCATTGGTATAAATCCCTTTTCAACCATTGTTTACTCCATTTTGCGTTCTAAAGTTTAGTTTGCAACGTACGTTTGTTCTTAACATATCAATGATATTCAAGAAATAGGTTATGTACGCAAACACACTAATGTTATACATTGTCCTTTCACGTTTTTATATTGTGCATGTTCAATTTTGGTTTGGTTCTTTTAGAGAAGGGTAAGAGGTGCACAAAAATCTGATCAATACACAGATCCTAGTATTATATTAAAGGGAATTATGAACTATTTGTTGGTAACCTTTAATCGTTAAGCATAATGTTCTCTATCCATACTTTTCTTATTGCTCTGAACAAAACTGTTACTGATTGAACTGATTATAGCGACCATACACAATATAATTGAGTTATTTGTAAAAGCAAAGTATGATTCATTCACAAAAATTAAAAATGAAAATTAAGATTTTGTTAATTATTACAATAATAATACATCCTGATGAAGGTAAATCCTTAAAACTACCTCTGACGCATACAATTTACAAACTATTATTTAATTTTTTTTAAAACTGGGTCGATACCACAGCTGGTGGACTATAAGTCCCCGAGGGGTTTATCAGCTCAATAACAAGTGTGTCGGACATTTATAAATTATCAAGAAACTAAGGTTCCAACTTCTTTGAGCAAAGTTAACCTTAAGTAGACGGATTTTCCTGTTTTTGTAAGGTCCCTTATGGTCATATAGCTAATCACAGGTTCGGTATATACCTCCTTGGCTTTCAAATATTTGGCTTTAAATGTTCCTGATAAAAGGAAATACAGAAAAGCTTAGCGGTCGCATAAAATTGAAAAACATTTTTTTTCATTTTACATGGTTCTGGTGACTGTGTAATATTCACGTAAATACTGTTGGTCTTGGTATTCCACTTTCCGAGAAAATCACATATAATTACAATCGCCTCAGTTGACAATGTTTTCTCGGGGTAACAATCTGCTCTATCATCCTCTCAGCTATGTGTTATTTATATATTATACCGTGATGGCGACTGAATTGCATACTATAATCATTGTTCCGCAGTGGAAGTAGTACCATGAAACGGTACAAATTGAACTGCACCTGCTACGCATGTCGAAGATAAATGTTTTTGTTCAGTGCCGCTCGAGGTTTGAAACCCCATACAAACTTTGAAGAGCAGGTATAGCAAAAATAAGTTTATTTAGATCCGACACTGTGACAAAGAGTTTATGTGAAGGTGATTTCTGAAATTCAACTGTTTTAAAATTTTTATAGCAGCAAATTTCAACAAAAAAATAAATAATAAATAAATATGTTTACCTCCATGTCTGATCGAGTGATATGGTCTGATGCTTCTACTGTCTCTTTATGTTTTGTTCTCAAATTGGTCTGGATTGCTCGAATTAATTCATTTACTTTTTCACCAAAAGTATATTTCCCACCAAAGTCATAATACTTTTTGGAACTAATTATCAAACCTAACCAACCATCAGGCTTGTAATCCATTTCCATTTTTAATGGTATTATCGTTTTCCCCAAATCAAATGCATATCCTGCCTCTGTAATATTTGTTGAATTAATCTTTTTTTATAAGAACAAAACCATTACAGACTTCACACATATTTAGTGTTCTTCTGTAAAGTTAAGCAAAAATTGACAGGTTTTACTCTGTTCTATGTGCATTTCATTGTTTATTCAGAACATGATTGCACATATTACTATATAAAGGAAATCGCGTCTGAAAATGAAATAGATACAGATTGTACAGGTTATTTTTCGCATCAGAATATTTACTCTAACATACATTATCTTTCTTTGCGTTTATTTGCATTTTTCTTTTTTATGCATTTTTTTTTAATTTAAATTCTCTTAAATCAAAATGTTTAAATAATCTTATCTCCACAAATATCCATAAAAGGTACTGTGATGGCAAACAAAGTACAAAATGTGTATGACTATTGTGCAATATGTAAAAATTAGACCACACCAACCCTTTTGTATTCCGTTTCAATAATAACTACTAGTACTCTAAATGCACAAATCAACCGTTTTCCGTAACACAATTCAAATGGCATTCTACTATCTCCCGTTTCAAATTCTTACTTTGTGAAGAAACACACTATTTCCCATAACAAAAACATCGAAGTTAAATCATCAATACATGTATGTTTGGCTTTTTGATCAACAACATATTTGTTGAATTTTGTGGAATGAAAGTCCAACAGACAGTGGGTATTCAAATTGTGCACCACTACTAGCGTACTTGTTTTTTGCTCTTATGAAAAAGCAGAATTCACACAGAACCTTCTCAAAGACAAAAAGAACAAACACATTGCAAAATTGTTATTAAATTTTACTTTCAGATATATTGATGATGCACTGTCACTCAATAACCAAAATGTCATGAGTGCCTGCATTGCATATATCCTAGTGAACTAGTGAAAAATACTACCTAAAGTAGAAGGTCTGCTCGGTATCTTGACGTTTTCATTGATATTGATTCAGATGGACAACTTTATACTACTACAACCTATGACAAACGTGATGATTTCAACTTTCAAGTTGTCAACCCCTCGATTTCCAGCAGTAGCATACCCTCTGCTCCATCGTTTGGCATTTACATATTTCAGCTTATACATTACGCCAGTGCATGTTCACAGTATGCACACTTTATCAAAAGGGGTGTGTTCCGTTCACAAAAACTGCTCCAACAGAGTTACGAAGAAGAATGACTGTAATCGACCCTTAATAACGTTTACGTTCACCATCACGAATTGGTTGATCAACACGATGATTCCGTGTCTCAACTTACTAGCGACATGTTTTAGCGATCTTAGTGGTAACGTGGTCTGGTTTGTACCCGATTGTGAATTTTTACTGAGTAAATTTCCATGGCAATGATGGATCCTTCTGTTAATGTTGATTTTATCAGGGGAAATGTATTTGCTGTTCCCGTACATTCTTATATTTGGGAAAAAAGCTGTCTTAATCCCTTCAATTTACGAGATTCTATAATCCTAAAAAATGAAAACAAACTACATGTAATTTAAGATATATTTAGAAACAAGTAAACAAAATGATAAGTTTTTAATGGTTGGGTTGATGTCTCAATGAGTTGCACACACATTTCTTAAAGCAAAGATATTCCTATGATTTGTTTTCATTTTAACAATAACGTTGGTCTTTATTTTAGATCAAGTATTGAATAATTCTATATCTTTATACAATCTGTGTTGCGTAGAAACGCACTAACTACGAGTTAATATTCCTTCGGACTACCAAATATCAGCTCTAGTTTGTCTTTCAGAAACTATAGGAGACTATTTTTAAATGCTATTTTATTTTTAATGTCTGTGCTGTGTATTCCCGTACGAGCCTTATCTGTGTATTGTCTTATGAATTAATTTAGAATTTTAACATTTAGACAAGGGTTATTGAATTTGATGGTTAAAGAATTTATTGAGGTCTTATTGTTAAACAGAGGTTTCTTGATTTGCTACCGTACCAACCGTAGTACGAACTGGGAGCCGTCATTGAATTTTTGAAATTAACTCATATGTGCCCTTAATGTCAATATATGTTTTATGAATCCCTATTTAAAGTATTTGATTGATTTTTAGCTACAACTTAGTATAACGTTCATATGCTACATATTCATAACAAACGTTATTGTGTGTACTCTATTATGCTTCAACAAACTGTTGAAATAACCGTTGCAACGAACGGTTTGTAATAAGATTTATTTCCCCTGAAAATTCACCGGCAAAAAAAGCTAAACAAAATGCACATTCATTGTCTATCTAATGTTTGCCTGTAATATTGATATAATAGTATAGAATAGATAAGTTGGCATTTTTTGGAGAGTAGGCTTTTAGAAAACATAATAGAATAAGAGCTATTTTAACATATAAATTTACCTCATCGAAAATGTATAATGTTAAAGGTAAATACAAAACCTGTTGCTTTTAAATCGCTAGCCCCTACAACTTACAGCGTTGCTAATGAATTAAGATATAGTATAAGTTAAACTCGAATGAGCAAGTCTTTAGGAATATTTATAACAGTATTTTATATGGGTTAAGCACTAACTTGTGTTAAATGATTTATTATATTCTATATTGGAATTTAATATTGTAGGTTATATTAGTTTTTCAAATTCACTATCTATAATACCATTCTTATATTTTTCTGCAGTTTGGCAAACATTGTCATTCACACGTATGAGAAAGTATACCAAAATTGAAAGTACGAATAAAGGATCAAATACAAAAGATACACTAGTAAAATATTCATTGAACACAAATGTCAGTACAATTGTATTTTATTATAATTGTATGACAACTATCCTAGTCAATTAAAATCAAGAAATGTTTTTTTTTCATTGGCAACCGAAGAGTGAATACTGATTTTTAATTTCCTTTCTAGAATGCATTTCTAGAAAGAAAAATATCGAAGAATTCCCTTTTCTCACTCAAATGAAATCTCAGCCCCTACTTCCACTCAGAAAAAAAAATCTTTTACTGCAATGATGGAAATAGATTACTTGAATAATAAAAACTAGTTTCAAATAATGCATGAACTAATTATAATACGAACACTACGCAATTTTGACACGTTAACAAATATAACCAACACCAGTATCATGTGTTTTTGAAAGTAGTTGATAGTTATTATCTTAATTATCCCAAAGTCTGGTAGAAAACAATTTTGTTTTCTATGAATAAAAGAAATAGAAAAAACACCTATAACAAACAGAAACGCAAATCTATATTTAGAATCTAAAGGCCGTGTCAACTCATATAAAAAAGAAGATGTCGTATGATTGCCAATGAGACAACTCTTCACAAGGGACTAAATGACTCAGAAATTAATAACAACAGGCCACCGTACGGCCTTCAACAATGAGCAAAGCAGCACTAACTTACGTACCAACCTTACCTGATACATGGCAAATCGGGAAACCTCTAACAAGAGACATTTATAGCTATTGGATGACACGTTACCCTACATGACTTTTAACAACGTAATGTGGCGGTTTGACCGGTGACGCAGAAAATGTTCAATTATGAAATCATTTGAGTTCACAACGAATTTTGTTTTTGGGTTCGAGTTGAGTTCCCTGTGCTTTTTATGCTTTATGGAATGTTTTATCCTTTAATTTAACTTATATTTATTGATAGTCTCTCTTGTTTTCTTCTATTTATCAACCAAGGAAAATTTTAAAAAATTACCGCTTGAAACAAAAAAGCAAGGAAAATCTGTAATATTTGGTCATTTGGTTTTTTTTTAATTATAGCCTTGCATGTATATTGCTAAATTATGTAGTCTAAAGAATTAAAAAACTCTCGGATCACAGCTTATAATTCCATGTTGATATATCAAGTATGTTTGCGATCAGATTTAATTACCTATATCGAGTGTAGTAAATTTGAGCACAAAAAGATGATAATAGTGTGTAATATTTTACTATAGATCACTGATCACTCTTTTTTAGTTTGCATTTGTCTGACATTGGCATACAAATATCTAATGGCTACCAGTGTCAATGGTTCTTTAAGAATAAAAGAGTAACTGATTGTTCATAAGTTTTATCTTGTGTTTTTGTTTGACAAACCGGAAAACATACCCGCTCTACAATAAGGACTGTTCCTGTATTTAGATGAAAAACAGACAAGCACAATATCTGCCTGCTCAACAGCTTTAGCCATAGCCTCGTCTGTCCAACCATACATATCATATTTGTCCATCCATTCTGATTGAAATGTTTTCTAAACTATCACGTATTTGTAGTACCACGTCCTGATGTCCAGAGTTATAACTAATCATTATGTGCCTTTTGTCACTTCCTGTAAATGTTCCGTAGTTCATACCATCTTCCATTTGCATTTGAAATAGATAAGAGAAATTACAACAACAAAAAAGATACAAATTGATAATGAATTAAGTTAAAGATTTTCACAGTTTGTGTTGCGTAAAAAAACAACCTGAGGCGTTTATTAAGACAAAGAGTTCGTATACATGTACGTTATTGAGCAGAGATATAATAAATTGAAAATTTATTAAAAAGCTCTATAAATGTACAGATTGTACGAAACCAGCACTGTTGAATATGAAGGTTTTTACTTTAGATTTGTTTTTAAATTCGTCGCCAGAATGTTGTTTTTTGTTTGTTTTAAATATGTACTACTTTCCAGTATGTTGTTTTTGTTGTTTTTGACCGGGCCCGAATTGGTGATGTTACATCTTACAAAGTCTATCCGAATTTTTTTGCAAAGAACTCCACTCAAACTGGTGCTAGGGATCGTCTTAAACTTTTTTTTTGCTCTGTGTTGTGTTTTAGATGAAAAATAGCAATAGTAGCGCTGTTCCTTTGCTTTTTGTGTGTTCTTTTTCTGTGCATGTACTGATTATATGTCATGGATGGATACACCGTATTCTTTGTTTCTCTATTAAAAATGGGAATACATTGCTGTAAAGTATTCGTTTTACTGCTATGAAAATGTACGGGGTGACCCGATTCGTTATTTTACATTTAAAATTAATTAACATCGATATGTAGCGTGAGAAATAGTATTGTTCATGTTTTTTTTTCACATACCTCAATGCTTAGAACTGCAAAAACGAATTGAGCGACCCCTTGTTCTTTCAAATACACCCTAATGTATTCAAGTACAAGTGTAGGAAAAATTATAGCAACATTGCGCAATGAAACATTCTTTTTCAACAAAATTCGGTCGAGGGATTTTTGAGAAGTTGCAATTGTGAGTGAAAAATATTTTTCTCCGCTTTTCACATACCTTCCGTTCATTAATTAAAATATATTTCACAAAATTTTATAAATACTGCATTATATAAGCTTTCCAATATTCAAATGCAGTTTAATCAATCTGATTATATTACAGATTTGCTTAAAAGGATTAAAAGGATCTGCAAACACTTCGTTTTACTTCCGGAACATTGTAAGCAAAGCTGAGACACAGGATATGTATCTTAATCAGATTGCTGTTCAATGAATTTTAAATGCATACAAATTTTCATCAAATTCGAAATATGGCCCAATTACGTATACTTTGCCTTAAACAACTTTAATTTCATTAAATAGCCCCATCTCATTAGAAAAATACTTGTTTCACTCGTGTAAATATAAATCTAACATTAAAGATTTTCCTACGCCAGTTTGTTACTTAGACAATTAAAGTGTCTTCAGTTATGCTCGAGAAGCAAAGAGCATCGAAAATATAAACCTTCATCAAACTTAAAAGAGCTGGTATAACCGTATATGACGGAAAAGTACGACCAAATCAGACGAGGAATCAGGGTTATGCATGAAGGAGATACACTCATTTATTTGAACAAATTTTTGCATATGACAAAATTTCCATAATAGAATATGTTTCTATGTTGGTGAAGAAGTATTGATTTACCTGCTTAGTTATACCATATAGAATGTATAAATCCAACTGCAGATTTATAAATTGCGTGTACTGCACATGTTCGAGACAACAAAAATATGAAAATCCAACCTTATACAAAAATTGTACAGAATAATCACAAATAATGATGGGTTTGGTTTGTCAAATATTCTAATTTTCTAAAAATAATTAACAACATAATTGTATATTTACAGCTGTGTTGGTTATCTTTGATTGTCCATAAAGTCCTGCTAATCGTTTTAACTATTTTATTTGATGATTGAAACAATCTATTCAATGTCTCTTCCACCTTCCATTCTTTCTTTTTGATCATGTCTGCTTTGTTTTCTTTATCAAACGATAACTGCCAGATAGCCAAAACGGCCTCTATAAAAAAAACTCCACAAAAGTTACGAGGTAAGGCATTGCATTGGTAAACTCAAGCATATTTTCGCCTGTTACTACTGACTGCACACGGTAATTAGTTTTACGAATTAGTGGACACCACCTTTTAACATACAGTTTTATTTTAATTGATAAAGCTTAATACATCCGTGCTAGTTTGAAACAGACGTTAATAATCATAAACTTTTTTCGATGGTCTACACAAATTTAATACGTAGAAGCTTTCTTCTGAATGGTTACGTTTAATCTTAAATTCATACATCGAATCTCGTAATTAGATTTGGAAACTCGGATTTTGAATGTCGAAAAACTAACTTAGGATATTGAAACTCGAATTTCGGATATCAGATCTTATAAGATCCTACTAAGTTTGTGGATTTTTCTGTAATAAATATAGTTATTTAAGCATTTTTAAGGGACTAATAGTTTAAATAGTATTAGTGAGCAACTTTTATACATTTAAACACAAAACTTAAGTATGATATGATTTACCACATTGTTCCTCGTTGTTTCCACTGTCAATGATTTCCACAAGCAGTGGAACTGCATCATGCTGTACAACAATTCTTTTATTGTTATCATTTCTTGCAACATGCTGAACAACTGTAAAAGATAAAGGTAAATATATTTCTCACATTTCCAAGGATACCATGAAGGCATATTTTGTGATCTTCAGTTATGACAAAATTTTATACTTCAAAACTTTCTATGCTGTATGAATTTTGCTCATTGTTGAAGGCGGTACGGAGACCTTTGTTTGTAAGCTTTTACGTAATTTGGTCTCTGGTGAAGGGTTGTCTAAATGGCAATAATACCACATCTTATTATTTCTATACCACAGATTCGCGCGTAAACTTGTTACTCTTAAACATATATCCTTACCATTGCTGTACCAAGTCAGGAATATGACAGTTATTTTCCATTCGTTTGAAGTGTTTGGGCTTTTGATTTTATAATTTGTTAAGGGAATTTTCGTTTTGTATTTTCTTTGGAGTTTTTCCTTCGGGATTTTATATATTTTACTTTTTTTCTCAAATGATATGTTGAACATATGAATCATTGTTTTAACCGAAAACAAAATAATGCGAAAAATAATATCCTTTCAACATTTCCAGTCTGATACAAATTAATGTATTTTGGTTGAAATTACCCTCGATGCATAAATGACCAAAGCATATAAAAATTTCAATTTTAAGAATCTTTCATAAATAATAACCCGCATGGTTACAAAAATTGCTGATTTTCATTCAGTGAATCAACAAAACGGAGAGAAACAATACATACAACATTCTTCGTGTAATAGGCAAATGGTAAGGGGATGACCATTTCATACTTCAGGGAGGAGGATTTTGTAAATGAGTATTCTTGTTTGATTATAAATGAAAACATATCTTTGCCCAAGACCTGACGAAAATGAATAGAATACTGGACAATACATGCAATATGTGTGTGGAAGAATAAATATACGTATTTTTCTCGAAATAAATAAGTAATTCCAGCGAGAGGTGAACATAAATACTGTACCCGCAAAAAATCCTCCTTCCCTCTCCTACTACATTCCTACGGTCGTGCCCTTATATTAAGATGATTGAATACATGTTTCTAGGTTTGTCTATTTCAACATTAAAGTTAGTATTTGAATTAAATTAGAATCAAATGTACGTACTTCTAGCTAATTCTTTTAAGGACCAGCCGTCATAAGTTCTTAGTTCCATAGCATTTGAAATAGTCGTCATTAAAAACTTAATGACGTCATCATTGCTTTTTAAGATTTCACATTCAGACTCGTTCACAAGATCAGCGAGGGTTGCTAAGCATAACAGTCGAATTATGTTGTCTTTCGAATCCAGATGTGGTTTCATTGCTTCAATACAATTCACATCTCGAACGTTTAGAACAGAGTCCTCAAACATGGAAATATTATGTAATATAGTACAGAGCATTTCCAGAATCTTTCCTCCTTCTTCTGACTTCAAAGATATAATAGAAAAAATTAACAGAAGCATACTTGTTAAATGATATTAGATAAGGGTTTAACTAAATACAATTCAAAGAAGGAATGAATATACACAAAAGGGAATGGTTCGAATGAATTCCATATGATCTCGTCATTGAAAGAACAAGGAGTCATGGTTATGTCATAGTTATTAAAAATCTGATGCTGACACAATTTTAGAATAATTCTAACAAGAACAAATTCAATTTCGAACAGTTGCTGCACATATTTTAAGTTAATTTGACCACCTTTAACCACATTCCTTAACGAATTGCAAAATACATTTTTTTTTATAATAGGCGACAAAAGTGGCATTTTTCGAGATACATATTTCCAATAATTGATAGAATTAAAGAAAAGGAATTTGCAATACTTTTTAACCCAAAATACAGATTGATGTTGATTTCCTTTCTCAATTTTTACTTTATGTCCTCATTTTTTATTACTGAACTTAAAAGATAAAAGAGAAATTTTTAAGTATAGTACTAACAGTCACAATTTAGATCATTTTTGTATTGTTTATTGTCAAAAGAATTTTAGAAAAAAATGCCTCATCACATCAGTTTTTGTATGTAGCTTATATACTGTCATGACTGTTTGCTTTGCTGTTATATCTTTTAAAATTGAGAATTGAAATCGGGAATGTGTTAAAGAGACAACAACCTGACCATAGAGCAGACAACAGCCGAAGGCCACCAATGGGTCTTCAATGCAGCGAGAAACTCCCGCACCCGGAGGCGTCCTTCACATTTACACAATTCTGTCAATTTAAGTTATTTTAAATATGTATTTTTCGGCAATTTAGGAACAAATGAATCTCATTTTCTCACATATTGTAAACTTGTACAGTTTCCAATTGATATGGATTTTTTAAGGGTTTTTTTTTAAAAACGTGTTTGCTTTTTCTCAAATTAAATTTTCTAATATCAAATGTTCACGATTTAGAAATAATGATCTCTATTCAACATTGTTCACTTCATGCTTAAGATTAGTTTAAGGATTTTATTCAAATAAGATTCATGTAATTCATTGTTTCTCTTTTGACGTTTCAATATATTCATTTTAGCAAAATTAAATAAGATTTTTATATTTTATAACTTGCACATGCATGTATCATTAGAAAATATATACATGTATGAATGATTTTGAATGTTTTAAATTAAAATTGAGTAGAGCATAATTCAGGACAATTAGATAAATTATCTTATTTAATAAATTATTTAATCAATCTTATTTGTATATTAGAATAGGTTATATTATTTGGACAAAGGTGTGTACAAATTTTATTCCTGGGGAAAATATTGACTGTTGGTTAACTGACAGGAATTAGCCAAACTGAAGATGATCCATTCGATTAAATTAGATAAGGAAGAGTAAAAGTGTTGAACTAGCTTCTTTTCATAAGATTGATTATAATCAGAGATATGGAAATACTTCATTAATATTTTCGATGAAGATTTATAAAATTTTGAATGTAGGACAGAAAGTAACAGGTCAAAAAGTATATGCATTATATATGTATATTATATGTATTTTATATGCAAAAACATATTTTACCTAATCGTTTTAGTATTTGTCTTGAAAATTGAAAAGGGTTAAGAACAACAAATCTCTACAGATAAAATCAGTGCATATCTCCGGGTAACTTAATTACAATGACCATGGTTAATAACCCAACACAAATGGGCAAAATCTCATGTTTTATGACCCAATAAATTGACACCATTTGATGATGGACATATCAGATGATGGTTATCTATCAGAGTGTGGCATATGCTGTATTGTAAAATCACTGAATTGGATAGTAAAAGTTTGATAAATCTTCAGTTAACCATAATAATGACCTATTTCATAAATTGTACAATAAATTAATATAAAAACATTTCATTGCGAATTTTCTCTTATACATTCAAACTTTTGTTATTTGTGTCTTTTCTTTGAAGCATTTAGTTACTATGTGTCCTATTACTACTGTTGATTTACCTAGTCTTTGACCAGTTCAGGTAGGGACTTGTCTTTTCAGTAATGTCTTATCAAATTTATTTCAATATTTACGAATTTTAGCCGGAATAAAGCGATATTTGACGCCAGCCTGCTCAAATGGTCTTTTGCCAAACTTGTGTAAGTATCAGAACAAGAACTCATTTTTGTTTCATTAAGTTTAAATACCTTCAGGTCCATGTCATCACCAAAACGAATATCTTTCCATTCTAGTAGCTTATCAGTCGCTATGCTAAGAAAGGATTTTTCCTGCGCAACAATGCCACTCAGTTTACAGTTGTCATCAGAACAATTCACCAAATATTCCAACATTTTAACTAAGAGTCCAGTGCATTTTGTGTTTGTTCCAGGATATTTTATACGTTCTCCAGATTTCAATATTTCAGCACAAATTTTACAAAAAATGTCAACAGTTTGATACTCTATTGAATGTTGAGTGAATCTTTTAAACATGTCTGACCTAACACTGGAAAATTCTATGTTGATAACGGAAGAGTGTATTTCGACCAACGATAAAGCAGCAGCCTGAAACGGTTCAGTAACAAAACCATCTTTGGTTCTATTGACTTGGTTTTCTTTGATTGCAATCATAGCTTGTTCAGCTGAATCAATAAGATCATTTAAATCAATTGACTCATTTTCACTGCTCGAATCATAACCGTCGCATGGTTTCAAATCGTCATGCAATGTAGCAGTGGCATCAATCCTAGTGGTATCTATAACTATGTTCTCCATGACAGAACGTTGTTTTGGGTTGTCTGAGTAAATGCAAAGAAGAAAAGTTAGACTTTTCAGTAAAGATAAAAAGAAGCATAATTTATAAGTAGAAAAAGAAATCTAAATATATTGGAACCAGTAAAGGAACAAAAAAAAATAATTCATTATCACGGTGTATGTTGTAATCTATTAGTTATTTCTGTTGAAACATTGCAATATGTAAATGGCAAAATTTAGTCAGGCATCAAAGACGACCTGGTTCCATTTATATGTATCTTTAATCGAGTTTTACAGTCAAAAACAATTCTTATTGCGGAACGTTTTACCGCGTAATTTTGTCAAGGGCAAACTGTGTCGTCCATTATACACTTCAGTTTAGCTGAACATTTTGACAAACAATATACCTAAAGGTATACTCGAGAGCTGACTAGTTTATATGTCAATGAAACTATTTAAAATTCAAGGACAAGCATATTGCGTGTAAAATGAAAAACGGAATCTAAAAGAAAAGTCATAATATTTAATACAGATGCTTTAATTTCAGTTCTTTATCGTATCCCATAGATTATGTGTGAATAATTGTTTTTGATTATGTTTTATCAACATTTATCAATTTTTCTTTTTGAATAAGTTTGTAATCATTTAATGTGTGTTACTCCACTATCTTGGTAGCCGGAATTGTGAAATTGAAGTTTAATTAATTAGATTCTAACTTTTAGCTAAAAATATCGTTTGCCAGAGAGGAATAGATATAATCTCTAATACACATACTCCACCACTGTTTCACGATCTTTCTCTAGTACATGTATATCTATTTTTCCGACATGGGTATCAATGCAGCTTTGGTTTAACATGCTAACTATTTTGATATTGATATATTGGTGAGCAACGCTATTGGATTTAGATGGACAAAAGAAAAAACCCTTTCTTTAAAAAAGAAAATAGTCTGTACTTTCGAATGACCTGATCCTGGTTATCTATTATTTTAGTATCATGTGCAAAACAGTGTAGCCGAGACCATTGATTGGCGCGCTAAAATATCCCATTGACTCGGTCAGATTAGGTGAACGCTCGTCTGTAACGCCCACAACTCACGACGTATTTATTATAAACATTTAAACTGTGGGGTCACCAAAGGGTCTCAACGCCTAAATAAAATAATTCGAAAAACTAATCAGGAATAGCCTTTGTGTTTTGATTTATGTTGAATACTTAAACGTTCTTTACTTGTGCTTTTGTTATGTTTTGATAATTAATTTTTATGATATCGGACGTTCTTTCAGCAAAAAAGGATTTAACTGGCTTTAAAAGTTACAATGGATGTGTTGATTATTATGTTTTTTTCGAACGTCAAAGCGATTTAACAATTGCGGTTGTCCAATTAGAATCATGTGCATAACAGTGTAGCCGAGACCATTGATTGGCGCGCAAAAATATCCCATTGACTGGGTCAGATTAGGTGAACGTTCGTCTGTAACGCCCAAAACTCACGACGTATTTATTATAGACATTTAAACTGTGAGGTCACCAAAGGGTCTCAACGCCTAAATAAAATAATTCGAAAAACTAATCAGGAATAACCTTTGTGTTTTGATTTATATTGAATACTTACACTGAACTGCGGTCAAGCTTAGCGAAAGGTCGTGCAACATAATCAGTCAAACAAACTTTATTAGATTAACTCGTTAAGGAACGATCGTTTTCATTGGTCAATTCAAACCTTCGACCTCACACCTGCGAAAATAGAACACGCGTACTATAAAGCTGAATGGACTGATCAGTATTCACGTAGCCGATCAAGGTCGTTAAAAACTTCCATCGTCGTATTCCCGAACATGATTGTGTTCTTGATTATTGATGACAATTCTAGCTTTTATGCATGTGCATGTAAAATTTTAAACTTTAATCTTAACAGTCACGTCGAAATATTTAATTCAACAGTCTCCTCTCAATTGGTCCTGGATTAAGGGAGCTACCATTTTATTTTGATTGGGGGTGAAGGACTTGGATGAAACATTTTGTCCTTCATTTTTTTTAGTTGTTATCTCTGTCCTGTCTTTCTATTTTTCAGTCTGTTAGGTCCTGACTATATTTATTCGTTTATCCTGATTTTTTACATAAATCGTCATCCTGCCTTTTTTTTTTGTCAAGTTGCTCACCCTGTCTTATCTTTTATTCAATGGACTTGATGAATTAACGTTGTACTTGAAATGAGACCGTACTTAACTACAAAAATAACCAAATTACATACTAAAGATATTGCTCGATTTTTATAGTAAATGGGTTTGTGTTATAAACTGTCATGTTCATTATTCATATTCTTTCATAAGTTTTAGGATAGTGTGATTTTTTTTCTGATTTAGTTTACTTGATTTTGAAAAAAAAATCCCGAAATTCTAAGTAAATTCAGAACATGTAACCAGCCATGCTTTGTTTAGAGAAAAAATGAAGATGGCAAACCATGGCACAGTGGAAGGAAATGTACTTTATAAACTCCAGCGATATACTTTCTTAATTTATAATTAACTGTTTTGCTATCCTCGGTTGAAAATTATATATTGTAAATATTTAAATAGTTGCATAGAAAACAATCAGTTTTAAACAGTGTGGTTATTCACTAAATGTATTGATAAAAGGTGACTCCATTTTTGTACATACTTTTACAGTAGTCATCCTTAATTTCTTAATATTTCGTTTATAAGTTTATCATACATGTATGATTTTGTATTTCATTTTAATACGCACGCATGCCACACGTTACTTTGGCGGATTGTTCAACAATGTTATGCAAAGCTCTATTCTTACGGTATGAAATTAAAGGATAAATTTTCAACCAATCAAAATCGAAAACAGTACATTTATATAGTTCCTTATAAACTACGACATTTCTCACAAGTATTTATTTATTTTTTAGTTCCACACATGCAAAAATAAAATCTTCGCCGATGAAACATTTCAAACCTTTTTACACCAACATGCCTTCACTGAATTCATTTGAATTTCGTGGTGACCATGATAGTACATTGCATAGTACATCTATATTCACGTGCACACATGGTACGATCTTTCGGGGACAATTTGCTCGTTTATGACACGTCATTTCTTAAGAACAAACGCTTAGCTTCTTTATTTTCGTTTTATAGCATGGAAACAATAAAAGAGGAATGTGCAACCCATCATAAATTTGAAATGGATCAGTATTATGAGATCCTTATTATAAGTAACTACGACATTGTCTGGATAATAACATAGCGTCAATATGAAAGAAATTAAAGTGGTTCATACATTCATCCGTATAAAAGCGGCACATGTATTTTATTTTATCCTTATATTTTTCATAGTGCGGTACAAGTGCTGCATGCATAAAGAATATTACTTAACACAAATTATTAGTATAATATTTCGACCCCACTATTTGAAATTCACAAAATACTTATTTAATTATTTCGACCAAAAATCATTGTTTTTTACGTTCGTAGTAACGTAGTACATTCCATTGTCGGTCACCTGTGTCAATTCACGTGCACACAACAATTGTTGTTGTATTTAAATCGTTCGGCCAATGAAGTGAGACGTTACAAGTTGTTTGTTTGTGATACGCCAGAATGTTATCAATGAATTATCAATCGCTTAACTTGACTGCATTTCAGTGTAAACGTTCTTTACTTGTGTTTTCGTTATGTTTTGATAATCAATTTTTATGACATCGCACGTTCTTTCAACAAAAAAAAAAAGGATTTAACTGGCTTTAAAAGTAACAATGTATGTGTTGATTATTATCTTTTTTTTTCGGACGTCAAAGCGATTTAACAATTGCGGTTGCATGTCCAATTATGTCATCTTTTAACTTTTATCTGGTCAAAATTTTATTTTAGAACGAATGCATGATCAACTTTAAAAAGTGTGCGTACACAAAACATATAGACAAAATATACTTCTGTCCTGTCTTTTTCGTACTTGCAAGTTATTACAATAAAAAGGCTATTTGGATCAAGCCTTGTGGAATTTGCATTTACGTTTTTGAATAGGTAAAATGTATAGTTTGGTGAACTTTTCTGCTAACTACTATACTTGTGAAAAACCCTTGGCAACAGAAACATTTTCAGCTTTTTTTTTAATCGACCCAATTTACATAGTAATGGACGACTTCGTACATTTTATGATCGCAAATAAAATATGTATATATACTAAAACCCTTTGGCAACCCCACAGTTTAAATGTTTATAATAAATACGTCGTGAGTTGTGGGCGTTACAGACGAACGTTCACCTAATCTGACCCAGTCAATGGGATATTTAAGCGCGCCAATCAATGGTCTCGCCTACACTGTTTTGCACATGATTCTATGTCATCTTTTAACTTTTATCTGGTCAAAATTTTATTTTAGAACAAATGCATGATCAACTTTAAAAAGTGTGCAAACACAAAACATATAGACAAAATATACTTCTTTCCTGTCTTTTTCGTACTTGCAAGTTATTAGACAGTAAAAAGGCTATTTGGATCAAGCCTTGTGAAATTTGCATTTACGTTTTTGAATAGGTAAAATGTAAAGTTTGGTGATCTTTTCTGCTAACTACTATACTTGTGAAAAACCCTTGGCAACAGAAACATATTCAGCTTTTTTTTTAATCGACCCAATTTACATAGTAATGGACGACTTCGTACATTTTATGATCGCAAATAAAATATGTATATAATATACTGTGCACTGTAGTTCGTATATATACTGAGACCCTTTGGCAACCCCACAGTTTAAATGTTTATAATAAATACGTCGTGAGTTGTGGGCGTTACAGACGAACGTTCACCTAATCTGACCCAGTCAATGGGATATTTTAGCGCGCCAATCAATGGTCTCGGCTACACTGTTTTGCACATGATTCTATTGCGAATGATTGATGTTTGTCTACGTCGGCAACAGTCAAAAGGTAGTAATTTGATTAAATACTTATTAAACACGAATGACTGGTAAGTGTAATTATGTTGTGATTCTGTATTTCAAGAACTATAAGAATCATTTCTTAAGACGAAATT